GCGTCAAGAGCTAGTGAGCTGAACTAGTAGGCCTTTTCGTCACCGGAAAGTTGAGTATCGGGACTTGCCACGGGCGATTGTTTGTAGAGGCTGTAGAGGCGGGAATGTGGCACCGAGGAATTTGGCGATGAGACGCATCATAGGCGGTCGTTGATTCGAGGAAGATGGGCTTGTGGATAAGTCCAGCGCAGCGCACCAGCATACGCCCTCGCCCCGAGGAGATCGGATCCGTGGATAAATAGATCCAGTAACGAATTTTTCTGACAAAATAGTTTGCGGAATGTCAAAGTCGGCTTCCGATCTGTGTTAAACGGTCAGCTTAGTTTTATATGAGGAGAAGTCTGGCGGCGAGTTCAAGACCAATTGGTGAGGATGCGGTCGGACATCGAAGCATGTGCGTGTAGACTGAGGTGTGTGTTGATCATTAGTTGCCTGCATGCGGGAGGAAAAAGCTAGTGGGGAAAGGCCTTATTCATGGAAAGGTCTACTTGGTCCCAAGTTTGTAAGTCAGATTATAATAAGAAGTCGAGCTGAAAGTTCCGAGTGTGACGTAACGAGGCTAACCCGAGTAACTGCATAATGATGCACAAGCAGAAGAGGCTTAAACTGAGAAGATAACGATAAAAAAGAGGATACTAGTATTAGCCAAATAAGGGCTAAAATAATGGAGGTGACCCTACCTCAATTGCATAGCATCAATAAATATATTTATATAGAATAAAAGAGCTAGTCTGAATTAAGTCCTGCTGGCCAGACGAGGAGAGCTAAAACAAAAGATGTTAAAATAATAATCAAAAAGATAGTCGCTTGTAGTATTCTTTGTGGAACTATTGACTCGGATTCTTAACTGAGATTGGGTCCTTAGTGTGCAAACTTAAATATAAGTGGAATTGTGGTTGTCAATTTTAGCATAGTTGAACTCTACACGTTATTATCAGACCCCAAAGAATACATGCTGAGCTCTCCCGATTATATCAATTTGTAAATATCTCTTTAAAATGACCATTTGCATTGATAGAGTCTGTCAAAGCAAGCTAGAATCGTCGAATCCGGTGGGCATTGAGTCGAGGGCTAGTACGCTTAAAAACTAAAGAGATATGTTACACCCAGCGTGTGAATGAAATTGTCTCAGTGTATTTTCTTTCATTAAATGTAAGTAATCTTCACATAATTCTACGATGAGATTGAGCAACTTATCGAGCAATAAGCTTAAAACTGAAGTCAGAAGGTTATTAGGCACCTAGATCAAGGGACAACCTCCAGAACTGTTTTAGACACCTTTTCCTCTTGAAAAATAAGATATGCATTTGAACTGCAGGTCGAATAAGGTGAGGAAGGACTGATAGTTGAATTTTACCACAATCATATGAGAAAGCCCTACTGAATCTTGTCGCCAAATAAGTTTTCTTATACAGATCGGGCCACAGCTTCGTCTCTTCAGAACCCTCAATGGAGATTTAACTCGGATAGTGCATCGTTTATTTTCGACACGTCACCCCCACGCCAAGATGCACATTTTTGCAGTGAGATTGTCAGCGTAATGCTTGCCATTACAGTCGTCAAGGCGT